GTGGCCGGGATGTGCCGCTGGCTGTGCCCGCCGCGGGATGATCTCCGGGGAGCGCGGGGTTCCTTGCCGGTACTCTGGCTCTGTGCAGCCGGTGGTGCTGCCTGCGGTGCTCGCACGCCTCASACACCTGCACCCGGCTGCTCTCCTCAATCGTGTTCCAAGGGGACACTGAAGAGTATCGAATCTATTGTTTCACATAGCGGGGCCTTTGTATTTCAGTAATAGCTGCTTGGTTTGCCGCTCGCTTGGTTAATGTGCTGCTGGAGTTACTATCCTGGTGAACCGCCTCTTGCTACAGAGAGAATCCTGTACACCCAGCCTGGCATTTCTTTATTTCCACTGCAAGGATCTCCGGGTGTTCTGATTAAACATTCCTTCAGCAAGATACTGTCTTGATACTTAGAGCATTTTAAATACGTTTTTAGTTGTTACAAAYAATAAAATGTACTTTCTCTTAGGAGAGTCATGTAAAAACATTTTCATGTGAAAACGGAAAATGGCTTCAAGAGGRAAAACAGAGACCAGTAAACTAAAACAAAATTTGGAGGAGCAGTTGGACAGATTAATGCAACAGCTTCAAGATCTGGAAGAATGCAGGTAATAAAAATAGTTTCTTTCCTTCTGTATGATWGTATTTTTGTGAAGTGGTTGACAGAAGAAAGTGGTACCTTTGAGAAACCTTGTGGGGGGACATTATTTATTTTTGTGTTTTGCTGTGGGTTTCTGTTTTTAAATTAGGTATGATATGGGTGTCAGGTAGTAAAAATTATTTTTAAAATATCTTTATTTTTATGAAGATTGTTTTATAAATCTGGAAAATCTGTAAGAAATACTCAGTATTTTCTTTGAAATGTTTAATTTCAATGTGACTTTTACCAGCTGTTCACAAAAGSCACAATTTTTCGATAGGATTTTTAATAGTGAACAAATAGGTTTTTTAACTGTTTTAGTTTATCTTAAAATTACGGATACTTGGGGTTTTTTTGGATTATTTTCTTCTAGGTRTGTTTAACTTTTCGTGTGATTTTGTATTAGTCTTCTGCGGGTCAATGCAATTTGAGACAGAATGAATGATCAAGGAGAAGGTCGGGCTTTTATCTGTTTTAGTACTTGCATTTAAACACCCTGTGTTTAGATGATTTCTCTGACTAGAGTTCTAACTCGTCCAAGAAGGACATATCTCTTCCAAGAACAATTAGAACTACTTAGGAGTGGCAGTGCTGTTCAGGGAATTGGGCGAGGTTTAGACAGCAGGATCAGTTATTCCTGAGTGGATGGCTTTRGGTGAGGAGATGCACTTCTCAGATAATCTCATTCAGTGTAGCTTTGAGCAAGACAATCTCATCTCATCTCTCTCGTGTTAAATCCTGTCAATTCATGTGTGGGTCCTTTTTAGAGAAGAGCTGGATGCAGATGAGTATGAAGAGACCAAAAAAGAAACTCTGGAGCAGCTGAGTGAGTTCAATGACTCCCTGAAGAAGATTATGTCTGGAGATATGACTTTGGTGGAYGAGCTCAGTGGGATGCAACTGGTAAGGATGATGTGYTGTTAAAATAGTTCATGTTCTGAGTGGAGCTAATGAAACAGTGAATAGATACAAGTGATTCTCTATAATTTTTATGTGAAATCTAGATCTATGTGACTAATGTGTTTTATATTTTAATACACTTGTACATTGAAAAAAATTGGGTAGGTATCTTCATTTTTAAAAGGAAAAACACCTAYTGAAGAATGACAACCATTAAACTGTAGGAAATTGCAGGGAGTAGATATATCAGATCCTTTCTCAGTCTAGTTGCACTAATTAAAGTGGATTCTTAAAGCCCTCTACGAAGGTCAYWTATTTTWATTTCATTTTCATGGTTAAGAAATAAAAGATGAGCTCTGTGTATCAAAAGATGCAGAGGATACTAAAGATACTGTCCAGCTCTCATTAATCTTGTCCTGCAGCTGTAGTTTGTGGCTCCTGTTAGTCCTGCTCATTCTTGTTCTTTTCCTTGCAGGCAATACAAGCAGCCATCAGCCAAGCATTTAAAACTCCAGAAGTGATCAGGATGTTTGCAAAGAAGCAGCCGAGGCAATTGAGGACAAGACTGGCAGAGGTGAAGGCTTCTGTTTTGCTGCAAAAYCTGTTTATTTGAGCCAGACTAATTCAAGGATRCAGTGATTGCAAGGAGAGCACYGAGTGTGCTGGAAAACTTGGTGGTAAAGTCCAAAAGAGATGGAGAAGTTCTCTTTCAGGATTTGTTCAGTTCAAAATGTTTATTGAGGTAATAGGGACAACTATGTGAATCATGTATTTCTTGAGTTATCTTCTCTCTTCCGGCTTCAAAACAAAAATGGGATTAAAGAGTGAATTGAGTAAGCTGCAAACAGAAAGTCTGTGATTGTACTGAGGGCTGGAGAGTGCACTCAGTGTTTCACAGAGGTAAAATGTAGTTAAAGTGAAATCAGATGTGATTCCTCCATGTATTGGTGATTATGAATGTATAATTTTAAATTATTACTGGTCTTTGATAAAAAGAGATTCAAGTTTGGAGAAATCAAGTAAGTTAAGGTTAGGGGTAAAGGGTATTTGTGAAACGTTCAGCAAAACTTCACAGACATCTTTTAAATCATAGCTCTGTCCCTTACTGCTGTGGGTTGATGCTTCCTCTGATGGTATTTTTAGGCTGTTGTTTTGGGTGAAATAATGGGAAGCTTATATATTTTGACTTTTCTTCCCCCTGGTGTGCAGATGGACAGAGACTTAATGGTTGGGAAGTTGCCACGAGACCTGTACACCCAACAGAAACTGGAAATTCTGACTGCCCTCAGAAAGCTTGGTGAGAAGGTAAGGGGTTGATATACTCAGGAGAATACAGTTTTCTGCCTTTTTAGGGGAACTTAGAAATAATTAAAATAAGAAATTACAATTTTATAAGAAACTATAAAATCCAAGGTGCTTTTATATTATATAAATGTCCTTCCAYTTTAATGTTTTCTGAACCTGAACATGTATTAAATAGTTCTGTACCTTTCTATAAGGCTCTTTCTACTTTAAAATTATTCCTTTGTTGGGCAGTGTGCATGAATCACACACTAGCTGGTACAAGGTGATCATATTTATAAAAGCTGCAAAACAACTACCACCTATTCACCAGGAACTATTCAAGACTTTTGAGATGTATCCAGCTTCACTTTTATAGTGTTGATAATACCTGGCTCTGGGTATGAGATAAAGAAATTGGGGAAATGAGTGATAAATGGATTGTTGCCCCAGTGATCCATCAGTGGCAGAAAAAGCCCTGGGTTTGCCACCAGAGGGAGGAAGTTATTCCTCTTTGTGGATGGTTCATGAAGAAAATGGGTGCTGAACTGAATGCATGAAGGTATCTGATCCTCCTGGTATGAGCTCCTTGGATCACAACATCAAGCCACTTCACCACACTCTGACCTAACCCCTTAATCTTCTAAAATGATCCGTAGCCTGCTGCACAGAGGGCTTGTTAGGACAATAGTTTTTGTTCTGGATATGAACAATGACAGCAAATATTGCATGTTAGTCTGTACAACACTGCAAAATGTTACCTAGTTGTATGCTTGCTTACAAAGCCAGCAAAGGCAGGTAAGCAATATGTTTTCCTTCATTCCAACATCATCCTGAGTGTCTACCTGATTTTTATATTTCTGCTTAATAAATTGATGCTAACACAGTGAAAAGTTTGACACGCATGCTTTGCTGTAATAAAGATGTGTATCTGAGGCTAATTAAATGAGTGACTTTTAACTTAGAATATCTGAACYTTCCAAATGTAGGTTACTGCTTCATTATGGTAAATATTTTATGGGCATCTGTCACAAGGCATCAGAGCACATAAAAGCAAAATATACATGGGGAAATGTCAYTTTAAAGGAAGAGAACCATTTCTAGGTCATTGGCTCTTAGCACGGTCAAAGCTGGCAGTGGCTGCTTTTTTTCTCTTTGCTCAGTAGATGATAGGAAGTAAGCTTAGATCTTAGTTCATTACTGTGCTGACCATGTGGCAAAAAAAGTTATTGACAGCTGTGGCATAGTTTAGGTGCCTCTTTTGGTAGACAATGATCACTGTGAGTCAAGTTGTAACGTCGTGGTGCATGTGGAGACACGTCTGACACTGCACGTGCTGTCCTGCCCGGGCTGRCAGGAGCCAGGGAGGGAAAATTCAGTGCTAGGGGAAGTAGCTTGTTCTTTTTTGTGTGAGGTTTCAGTACTGTAGCTGACACTGCCACTTAAAAACTGCAAATGGACAATTGCTGTAGCCTGTCATAATTCCTGTAGATGCACAAGTATATGGTGGGAATATGCAGAGTTAAGGTATCAACTTGACAGTTGTGGCCATTTTTGATTCAGCTCACTGGGGATGATGAGATGTTCTTGTCAACAAATGCTGGTACAGCCCTGAGCCAATTTGAGAGAGTCTCTACTGACCTTGGTAAGTTTTCATTCTCATAACTTCTGATTCCTTTGCCTCACTGAACACAGCTTTAAAGCACTCTTCCTGCCATGATTGTCATCCCTCTGATTGCATCCAGATCAAAAGTTCAGTTGTAAAAGGCATTAACTAAGCATGTCAGTTSATGGTAGCAGTAGTTAGAACTGAGATGAAAGAGCTGTGAATGGCAGGAACGTGTAAGACTAGATCAGGTAATAAACTTTCTGGGTGACCTACCTTTGAGCTCTCCTCTGCTGTGAGTAAGCAAGGTGAGAACCCTCTTGTTCAAAAGGGGCCTTGGGTAGGAGCTCTGTGTGTGGGGCTGTGTTACAACATCATTCCAGCTACAAACACAAATCCCAGCTCTACAAGAGCAGCTGGACAAAGGGAACTCCATTCCAGCCAGGCCCAGCAGGACATGGCCACTCTAGGCCTGGAACCCAGGGTGGGGTTTTATTTTATTTAATTAGTTCAAGAGTTCTATTTTCACAATTTCTTTTGATCACAAATGTTTTGCGTGCCTTAAATTGTATATAAGGTAATTCACAATTTCTGCTAATACTTACTGAAAATGTTTTTTTTTCCTCAGGATCAGGAGACAAAGTCTTTGCTCTTGCAAGTGTTGAAGTAGAAAAGGCCAAACAATGAAGAGGTTCGTGARGCTTGTGTCTGCAGTTAGCAGCAGCATTGGATTTTTGTCATACTGCATTTGGTTTTTCTATTTCTAACATGTTGGAAAAAAACAAAGCAAAACAAAAAGCCCAAGCCCTCAACCTCTTGGGTCCTTAATSAGAAGATATGAAGTAAACAGCCTTAAGTGCACTTTGGAACCTTGGTGTCTGTACCCTTTAAGTAATACAAATTCTGAGGCTGAACACTGAGTGGAACTTTAAAACAAAAGCATGGTATGACTGTCTTTGGAAAGAGTCAGCTGTTTTAAACTYTTCTGAATGTGTATTTCTCTAACTATTAAAACTTAATCTTTTTGCATGTGGTTGTAGCAAGCAGATCTTTTTAAGGAGTGGTCCTGATGATTTTTTTTTTTGTGATTCTTCACATTGTCTTAATTTTTGTCTAGACTCCCTACTAAGTAGTTTGTGCTAGGAAAGCATTGAAGCTTTGGGAAATGGATGTAATTTATTGAAATGCCATCATTCTGCAAACTGTTTGCAGAAGGCCCAAAATGAGCCTGGATGCTGCTCRCTGGCCCTTGGCTGCTTGTTTGCTGTGCACATGAATGAGCACTTTGTGTCCCAGGCCTGACCCAGGACAATGGCAGCCCTGTGGGGAGGCTTCTGGAGTAATTTGTGGATTGAAAGGACAGGGAATTGATAGGACATGGCAATGAGATGCTCTTCCTGTGACTCTTCCTCAGCTCTGGTGTTTTAACTGCACACTGCTGCTAATTCAGAGGTGGCAAGAAATAACCTGCAAGCAGAAACAAGTTTTAGAARGGAGGGAAATGCTCCTGCTGTGTGRTCAGTGTGTGTGTTGCTGTGGAGAGGGCAGGGTCTGTGTCTCCACTGGATCCTGAATAAACTTGGCATAGGAGGATTTAAAGTCTCCCATTGTTGAATTTTTAGCTCAGAGGGTGGTAAGACTATTTAAAACTCAAGATGTGTACTTAACTTCCTGACAAYTTTTTTGTAAAACAGTACTAGGGATCTAGTCCTTAAAAGTTCTGGCTGCTTCACACTAATTCGGTGCTTGTTTGCATTTTGTCTGAGCTGGTAGCAAGTTTGTGTAATTGTAAACTAGGATTGGAGTAGACTACAAAATGTGTTTCTAGACTGTATTTTGCTTTAATAGATAAGCTTTTGAAATCTGGCATTTAAGAAATGAAAGGATAGATRGTATAGGCAGCATAATTTGTTTTTCATTGATAGAACTTTTTTCTCCCTGTTTTTAAAACGCCTTTATTGAGATGGGGTCTTTTGTCCATTCCAGCAGAACTATTTTCCTGTCTGGGACAGCATTGTGTTCCCTGACAAAGGCTGATTGCAAGTTCATAGCTGAGAGCAGCTTATTAAAAGACGTTATTAGACAGTCTGAAATGATGGGAAACTAAACAGTCCTTGGGGACTGGAGCTGCCTTCTTTTCCTTTCTGCTCATTACTGGTGCTAAAGAACTCTCCCACACGCCCCAGCCGCTTGCAGCATTGCTATGTAAATTAAATCTCTCAACACTCACAAAAAGTTTACAAYACAGTGACATGGAAATACTTTTCCTTGTAGTTTGAGAGGTATAAGTTTCCAGGAGAAACCTTTTTCATTCACTTGTAAATATTTCAGGATTTTTGCAAATTTCTGTACTGCAGGCAGTTGTAACATTCCTATTCACTTGATCCTTGACTGAACACCTTTTCAGTGTTGTGCTGCTTTTGCTCTTGGAAAGATCYTTGGTGATTTAGTGGGCAAAGATGAGACTGAGATCAGTGACCAATATTGCAAAATTCAGTGGATCAGCTCAGACCTCTCAGAAGCTGTGAAGGGTCAGAAATCAGAGCTGTACCCAGAGACTGGCTGTGTCCTGCAGAATGGCCTGACCAGAAATGGGATTTAACAAGGAAACTGCTGATGATGTGAAGCTATTCATGTGTTGACCTTTGCAAATATTTAAGTAACCTCTTGAAATAGTTAGATTGATTTCAGGCATAGTAAGTTAATTGGTGTGTTGTGCTAAATATTTTGCAAAATAATCCTGGGATGTATCTCCACCACTATCTCAAATGTTTCTGCAGGGGCTGGAAAAAAGTCCATAATCTATTTATTATAATAATAATTTCCTCAAATAAAAACTGGTAACAAAAGAACAACTGTGAAATGAAAGCATGGGTTTGTGTTTAACAAACAAACTTGTGATGTGTGRGTTCAGTGTTAGATCCAGGCAGATCACTCATTCTGTACACATCATTCTTTCCTGGAGTAAAATACAGATTATGATCCTTAAATATTGAGTGCTGTGAAGTTGTTATTGATCATACATTGCTTTGAAGATTAAAAGTGCTTTGTTTTTTGTTTATCGTTTTATTTCTGAAATAAGAATTGTAACAGCTTTAAACACATCAGCAAAGTTCCCAGAGTCCTTTTTTGGCCGTATATAACCTCCCTTTTTTAATCTTCTTTCTCTACAGAGTGAATTCAGTGATTGTACTGATCTGAAAGAAAAAGTGTTAGAAAATTGAAGCTTCAAATGTTCTGTCTCTCTTTCTTCTATCTTTGTCTCCTTGTGTTATTTCTCTTCTTTGATCTTGAATGGAAAAGTAGCAAGTTATCTTTGTCTTGAAGAAAAAATACAAGATTTCTTAAGAGATCCCTTAGTTTCTCATGTTACTTTGTTGAGTTGACTGCTTGAACTGCATTTAATTTGGAGGAAACACTGTACAGTTTCTGCATCAGAGCATGATTTTGGTAGATTTGAATTATCAGACTCRATCTGACATGTAAAAGATGAACAAAAGAAAAAGAGATTCCAAACTAAAAACAAGTCCTTCATTGGGTACCACACAKATCTTGGAGAGAAAGAGTTTTCATTAGTGTTGTGTGTGGCTGAATCATGGATAAATAAAAGCAGGGATTGTGTGTGCAGATGCTGCTGGAAGCCCTCAATGAGAGGGGGATGCCAACAAGTACAGAAGAACTTGGAGGGTGGAAGCAGCTGTGCTGTGAAGGAATCCTAAATGCATTTCAGAGCTGATTAAGAAAGAATTGGAGATCAGGGAGGACAGGGTGGAATGAGAGCTTTTCTAAATCAAGTAGGGATTCAGAGGAAAAGGTTTTATGAAGTTTTGGCTTACTAGAATAAACAACAGCCTCATTAAACAAAGGATTAGAAGCTATAGAAAAGAAAAATCCATTTAATCTGATAGATTCCTGTAAAATAATATCAAGTCTTTATACAATACTTGTAAAAATGTTAGATTTAGCCTTTAGATAATTAAACTTCCTAACATACCCTTGCTGAGGGCTAGGTCAAGCAGGGTGATGATTGGGAAGGWAACAGAGTTGAACCAGGGCAGCTCTACCTTGTGTTTGCTTTGGGAGGGTCTGTGCATTCCCATGGGGCATGAACAATATTTTACTCTATCTTTTGCAGAACTAGCATAGTTGAGAGGCCTCTTGAGCATCCTTCATGTCTTGTGATCATACAAGTGACCGATGGCTAAATGTCACCTTGCTTGATAACTAAACACTCGGTAAGCTCAAAGGGAATAACCTAATGTGGGCAAAGAGTTGAGTTTTAACAAAATACATCTAAAATTCTCCTAAGCTAGAAGAAGCCTTGTAGTAGTATCTCTCCCTGCTACAACCCTTTGTAAATAAATGCAGGATGTTAAATTGATGATCTGTAAGATTGCACTGCACTGATGTACAGTCAGCCAGCTGAACTAGGAGAGCTAGACAGTACTTAGTCATAAAATGGTGTTGTGCCCATGATGTTATCAGTGAGGAAATTCTTACTATTGCAAGGATGCAAATGATGGCTTAATTATATGCTCCTACTAGCATAAGATGCTTTTAGATCTTTCCCTCAGACTCATGTACTGTGCTAATTAACAGTAATCCAACTGGAGGATCCCAGAGCAATGCTTCTGCATATTTTCTTCAGCTTATGCTGGAGCTCTTATGTTCTTTTCTTAAATAATTAATAATCATTACTGCCTGCTGTGCTGTGGGTATGTGCCAGTGATCTCAGATCCCAGCACATTTGCACCATTCCTGTTCCTGTCAGCGGCTTGGGCTTGCTCTTTGCAGAGGCTTTCATGTTAAGCCCTTCATTAGCTGGCAGTGGGGTTTGGATTTCAGTGGCATCGGGCTTTGATGTCATTAAGTAGCAAGCTGTTAAAGGAAGTGCCACCTATTTCATTACTCTGATTATTTTTATGCAATTAAGTTAAATACCGAGTAGAAAACAGATGCRTTTTACTAAATAACACTTGGTACACAAAGCATTTTTATCTCCAGGAATTTTGTACTTTCTTTGCTGGCCTCACCAATGCACACTGCAAGGAAGCAGTTACTGTTAACCTAGTGCGAAACCATAATGCAGATGAGTGATGGAGYAGGGTGAAGAGCCTTTGGTGGCTTCTGTCTTTTTTGTTTAATTAATTCCTCTCTCTATTCACTGGGGTTTTACTCTCCTTCAGTCTATGTAGGTGAAGGATTACTTTATTTCTGAGGGCTYCTRTGACCAAATGGCCATTTATTCTACYWGGAGGTTGGCATTTTTTCTTATCGGCTGGATTAGCTCGAGTTAAACTGTACTGGATTTTGCAGTGTGTTTAACGCTGTCAGCGCAGCGTTGCAGCAGCGGCCCCGCTCCSTGTTGTGATCGATGTGAGGCGGCCCCAGCAGCAGCTGCGCTGCCCCGCCGGGGCCGGACCGGGACGGAGAGCCGGAGCTCGGGACATCGKCCCCGCGTCCTCCGCCGGCGGTGTCTCAAGGTGAGCCCGTGCCCGTCCGTGCCCGCGGGGAGGCTCCGTCCCGGGTCCCGCAGCCACAGCGGGCACCGGCACCGACCCGCACAGGGGCCCGGCAGCACTGTCCCTACGGGCGCGCCCCTTCCCCTCCCCTCCCCGGCCCTGCCCGCCCCTTCCCCGGCCCTGCCCCGCGTCCCGCCCCTTCCTCCCGGCCGGCTCTCGGCTCCTGCCTGCCTGCGGCGCCGCCGCTGCCCTGGGCGCCGGGACGCGGCGGGTCCCTCCCCCGGAGCCGCCCAGGCACCKCCCTCGGGCCGCCGCGGTGACTCACGACGGAGGAGGAGGAGGAGGAGGCTGTGCTGGGCTCGGCTGTGCACCGCTCCGCTCCGCTCCGCCGCTCTCGCCCGCCCCGCCGCCACCCGAGCCGCCGGAGCGCCGGGGCCGCGGGCCCCGCACCAGGTGAGCGCGGTGCCCTTTGTGCGCGGCCGATAACAAAGGCGCTCGCCCGGGCCGGGCTCCGCTCCGCCGGCCCGGGGCCTCCCCGCTGCCCGCTCCCCGCTGCCCGCTCCCCGCTGCCCGCTCCCCGCTGCCGCCGCTCCCGGTGCCCGGTGCCGGGCCGCGTTCCCTGCCAGGCCGCCGCCCTCTCCACAGGTGCGGGAGGTGCCTTTGCGATTTTCTSGCATCTCCCCTCGCGTCACGAGGCGCCCGGTTCCACGGTGTCCCACCCCAGGCATGGCTGCGGTGCCGTGCAGGTGAAGTCGTTGCCGGTGGAGCTGCTGGAGGWGCGCTGGAGCCGGGCGGAGGGAGGGCAGGTGTCACATCCGCGGGGCCCGAAACGCCCGGCCGGCCCAGGGCAGCCCCTCTGCCCGCGATGTGCTCGGCATCCCGGCCCTCGCCTGGGAAAACGCCTCTCGGACAGGGTTTACTAGAGGGCTTCCCCCGGGGGTAATTCCTGCCTTGGCTAAAAACTGTGTTTCTGGAGCCTCTGAGGCAGCAGTCGGTGACTTTCAGATTGGATGGACAGTATTTGTTGGCACACGTTAGGTTTGTACCTGTTGGAAAGATACGTGAGAGAGGGGCAGCATCACCCTCCGCATCAGCGTATTAGTGCTCCATGAGAGACACATGAGCTGTGATCCTCGTTTTTGCTCTACATCCAGATGTGCCTCATCAGGGTACATTTGCCTTTCAGACTCGGGTTTGCTTTCTCTTCAAGAAGAGAATATTTTGCTCTGTTGTATATCATCCTGTATTTGTCCATTCCTCATCTTGACATGTTGAACAGGATGAGCTTTGATGCTCTGTGAGATGAGCATGAGAYATTCTGCAGATGTGAGGATTTAAAAAACAGAAACAAAACACCCAACTCCGGTAGACTTTGGAGACAAGTTAGGTGTGCTAGTTCATTGTCCTGGTCTGAGTTGGCTCTAATGTGGCTAGAGGCATGTTTAGAGAGTACTTAAGAACATATTTTAAAATAAATTTACAAAATCGTACTGTATTTCATTGGTTTTGGCTGCTGAATTTGAAGTCTTTCCATTTCTTTTGCCCTTGGCTATTTTTGGAGCTCATGTGTGATGWGAAGTAGCCTGCTGAAGGAGAACCTCTATGTAAATGGTGAAAAACGATGCTGAACACGTACTTAAGTGGGGTTTGTTTTGAAATGTTTGTTATTTATGGTGAGGGGACACACAGAAAGCTGYATATTACTACTTCTGAAAATACAGGCTTCTTTTCTTGCCAAGTCARAAGCTACTTTTGCCTTGGCAAACCGATTTATCTGGAAAATGGTGACAGGTGTACTTCAGATACATTTCTGTTGCTTCACTTTGCCTTTAGCTGAAAAAGCATCATCAGTTATTGTGTCTCTGGCATCTTGATAGAAACTGGCAGCTCCTTCAGTGTAATTTAGAGCTGTTGGTAAGGGGATTTGTGTGTAAGTTGATGTGGTACATGGAATCAATAAATCCATGAAGAAGTGTGTAGGACTGAACAAATGCAGGAGCAAAGGCCATTTTGGAAATCATGACTGGCAATGGGGTGGACCCAGAGCCCCTTTAAAGCAGTTTTCTATTTTAATTCATAGTAAGCATTGCAACAAGTTGTGGGAAAGTTACATTTGACAGAAAAGTGCTTTCRGGGTTCTTTTTGACATCCAGGTGGGAAGATAGTACAATCTTCAGCAGGAAAATCATCCCCTAGCCTGGCAAGAGTGACCAGAAACCAAACCTAGATCTAATAATTACTAACAGTGACTGTAATAKGTATCTGCTGCCAAAAATTAAAAATCATCCTGCACTTGCATATGGGCAAATGGAGCTAACACCAAACATGCCTGGTGTGGTGAARCTGTTAAAGGTTGATTCTTTGCCTAGGAAACAGCTTATGAGAAATARATCTGTTCATGTGTGTTTAATRTAAGCTTTGCCTCTCCAAAATGTCTGTCATCTGTGACCAACATAAACATTTATGTTTTTTACTAAGTACAGTTCTTTTTCCCTTTGAAAAGATGCGCCCTGTCCACGAGCTTCCATTGGCATGAGAGTGCAGATAGAGCAGAGTGAGCAAAACCAGAGGTGAGAAGAAACCAAAGATCAGCAGAGTAACCAAAACCCACCARTTAGGACTTGAATAAGAAAAACACTCTCCTGACTCTCAGATTTATTTTCAGTCTTAGTGTTGAGAAAGCATTATATAATGAATGCTCAAAAAAGTGAGGGAAGCTCATTCTTGTTTCTGCTCACTGCTGGTGTTCTGACAGAATGTTACAGAGCTTCTGTACGGTTTAAATGTCAGTCTGAATTCAGAAAGTGTAGTCATACTTCTTACTTTTCAGTAAATACATCCAAGCTATTACATAATATCAATTCTGCCAAGCCTATTTCTGTTTTCTAAAACGATATAGATATAATTATTAATGCCATTTAAAAACAAACAGAACAGCCTAAAAATCTCCCCCAAAACCCCTAATAATTTTGACTTCTTGCGTTATTGGAATTCCTGTGACTGACTAAATGAGCTRCAGATAGGGGAACAGAGATGGAGTCAGTAGATTTGTACGACCATTCCACTTGTCTCATGATGTTCTGTTTTATTCCATGCAAGTACACAGACCAGGAATTTATTTGATTTTTCAGCAAGTCCATTTTTGCCATGTTACAAGGGCAGCTAACAAATATGGAARCAAATAATCAACTTTGTTTATGACCATGACCAAGCTCTGAAACCTTCTGACTCAGTTTATCCTTCTATAAAATTAGTTGACTRCTTCACATGAAGGTGGAGATGTTTAATTAAAATGTAATTGTTTTGCCTCTGAACTCATCCAGGTCCTGATTCAATGCACATTGAAGTCAGTGAGGAGCTTTTAATTAATTTCCTTGAGCTTTAAATAAGTACACATGGACGTGTACCCTTAAAGGAAATGTGACCTAAATTTTTGCAGTAGAGTTGCTGTAAGGGTGGAATAGAAATCCTGAAGCAGCTTAAGGTAAAATACTGAAGGAAGGCTTTTTGTGAAACTGAGGAGGGGATKGTGCAGCTTCAGGGATCTCTGGTGCCTGTTGCCATATTAATGTAATTTTGATGGAGTTTCCTAACTTTGAGTGCTGGATCTTATGTGGAAAACTGGAAATTTCTTTGTGCCTTGGCAGCTTTCTCAGTTGGGGGAGGCAATATCAGACTTCAAGGTAAACACAGTTCACTGAATGTTTGTGCWAAAATGATCAGCAATAACACTTATAATATAATTAACTCTAAGAGTTGATGCCAAATTGAGAAAAATAGGAGCATTCACATCTTAGCTGCCTTTTTTCAGGAATGTCTGTTGGTGCCAAATAATACTCATTGGTTTGTGTGGAATTTGTGAAAGGTTTTGCTTAACTTCAGAGGTCAGAAACATCAGGTTATGCTAAACAGAACTTTCATCMCTGAAAACATGGTCAGCAGCTACAATGAACTTGCTAAAATAAACCTTTCACAAGTCACATCAAACCATTTGGAGCCRTTCTCTTACTGGTTCATTGTCAAGAGTCTCAGTTCACTAACTTTTACAAAATACGTTTTAATCTATGAATAAAATACTGTGTGTATTTTCAGTTTGTGCAAGAAACGGTGCTTTTCAGTTTGTGCAAGAATCAGCTGTCCTGAGCATTGTTGTGAACAGTCTCTGGGCTAACTGCTGTTGTTATGGATTGGAGTTTGGTCAATCTAAATAAATATTTTTACCTGTGGTTTCCTGTGCTCTTGCCTGAGATTCTTCCATTGTGCTCAGGAATTAATCAGTCCCAGCACTGATAGGAATTGCTGGAACTCTTGAGCCCTTGCAGTCTGTGCTGAAGGGTCACTTCAGCTGTCAAACCACTGACCTCRTGCAGGTTTGTGTCACAGTTCAAGGCCAATATAATTGAGGTAACGTTCAAAATTGTGGCTAAGGAGGAAGGAAATTGCATCTGTTTTCCTGAGAAATAGGAAGTCTCTTGAAGGCAAGATTTCCTTCCTTGCAATCCATAGAGAAAGGAAAATATCTATGGTAAAATTGGTGTGTAACTAGGAATTTGTTTTAAACTAATGAGTATTAAGATTCCTCTTAAAATTGGCAAGGGTTTTTTTCCTTCCTCCCTCTTCTCTCCATCAGGTATCTTTGCAGCATGGTCTTGTTTGATGACCTAAGAAGGGAGCAAAATCCTTTTCTTGTGCTTTTTGTTTCTAGTAAGTCCTTCAGAGAAGAGAGAAGCTGGTGTAGTTTTGCAGATATAATTAAAGAGCTACTGAGTCCAATTTGTGGAGCACAGAAGATTTTTTTTTTCTTTAAAGAGGCAAGATAACTAGGTAGCATGAGAGCTGTGTTTATCACGTTTTACTGCCAATTTTGTTGGTGTACAAGGCCAAAACAATATTTCAGGTTGTCCAAGGGTTACACAATTGTGGTAGTCAAGAACTATTAATCTGAGAGTCTCTGGACCTAATGATGTACTTTGATACAATGTTACAAAATACTAAAGTGTTAGGTAGTCACCAACCTAATAGCAGCTCACGTTTTAATTGCTATTAAAAATCCAGTGAGCCCCAATTCTCTACTATAAAAGATTTATAGGCATTTGCAGTGTGAAATGTCTGTGACCTGGCAATAATGATGTTCAGATGTCAGTGAAAATTACAGGGCAGCACAGGTCACATTGAAATKGGAAGCTTTTGCTAAAACATGGGTATCTGTAGATCCTGTGCTGGTGAGTACCAGAGAAATACCCATATATATATATATGTCTGTATAAATATGTGTGTGTTTATGCACACTGACAGGGCTGAGAGAAAGCCTTTGTGTCCCTCTGCTTGTGATCTCTGCCCTTTTGGGTTAAATCCACCCAGCCCTGTGCACTTGGCTGGCAGAAGTTGGTCACACCAGCACAGGGAGTCAACTCCAGAAATGGCACTTCTGCTCTTGGGAAGCTTTTACTGTA